GGGCTTTATCGGAAAAAGGTCGCTAACAGCTGTTTCCTAACCCAAAGGTCAAAGCATGCTTTCAGTCAAAGTGCACATGTATTCACATACTCATGGTCTTAAGGCAGAATCAAAACACATTATAACTCTGGTTAATCTCATAATTGCAAGAAGCTTTTATCTGTGGCTGTTAAATAAGATCCAAGTTGCTTCTTCAGTTTAAACATAGAAAGTCTCCATGCAACCAAAATAGCAGGTCAGTGAAGGGTTAGCTATAACACTTACATAAACAATGAGTTAAATGAAAATTACCTTTAAAAACAATTACTATTGTTTTCACAGTATGTAGTCATTGTGATGATGACTGCAAAGGTTTAATGAGACAAGTGTCCTTTTAATAAATGTACTACTTAAATTAAAAAAATCAATTTGGTGTACAGGATGCAAATATAGGGAGCCAAAAAAAAAAAAAAAGACAGTAGAGCAGACGTATTCCCTGGACACACCGGAGTTTTTCTGGGATACCTTGGGTATCGTGGAAAAACCCTGTAGTCTAGATAACCTGTAATTCTATAGTAGGAACATTGAACTTGTCTTCTTAGAATTAAGCTTCCCAAGTTCGGAGAAACTCTACATTATTGCCCAACTTAGAACAATACTGAAACTTTCAAAGGTGAAATACCTTCTATCTATTCTCATGAATTACAAGAAAACAAACAAAAAAAACCCAACCAAATATAAACACCTTGATCCTGAAAAGTCTTGCTCATGTGAATAACTAAAGCATTGGTCCATGTTTTAGAATCTGTTATATTTATCTTTTTTTCCCCAAGCATCTTCTTTTTAATCCCCCAAGCAATAGTCTGATGTTGCTTTTTTGTGTTACGATTCATTAATAAGCAGATTTCATTCCCAACTCTCACTCTTGTGTAGTAATGGGACTAGTATGTGTTCAGAGGTAAAGTTTTTTTCCTCTTTGGTCCACTTTACGGAACAGAACAACCTTAAAGTGATCTGCCAGGTGGATCAGACATTAGAATTCATTCCCCATGTTGCTACTTCCTTTTGGACTGAGGAGTGCAAAACTGAAGTCCTTGTAAAAATCGCCGCCAAGATTTTCAGTACAGGCTAGTGATTTTGTGGGCTCAACATGAGATGCCTTCTCAAAGGCCTGACCTTCACAGGGGGAGTGCTCGGCTTTTTTTTGAGACCCAGACCCTGTTAAGGGTGCTTTTAGGTGGGTGTTGCAAAATTGAGGCACATTGCTGCCCATCATATTTCTGGATGTTCATGTTTATTTGCTCTGCAAACTCATTGGCTGCTAGGTGCCACAGTCTTGGATCTTACAGACTGGCATGGGGGTGTAATCTTCCCAGCCCAAATCAGAGTCCCCATGAATTTCAGTGAACACATTTCCAGGCATGAAGGAGCAGCAGTTGGTTCTGAAAGGGAAGCAAGAAACTTCCCCCACACCCCCATGGCCAGGCTGAATGCTACACGGAGCCTGAGTGCATTCAGGTTTGATTTACATTTTCTGATGATTTATTCAAGGTCTATTATTCATGTAAATATTTATCAGCCTGAAGCTTTGGGGACACACAGCTCAGGAAAATAAAGCATGTTGTTTTAATTACAGGCCAGAGATATTGTGCATTAGTTATTGTGCAGGCTTTGTGGTCTTATCTTGCCAGTGTCTTTCAAACTAAGCCTTAGTACCAGCAAAACCATGTGACCCTTCCCAACCTAATACTACAATGTGTCTGCAAACGTTTCTGATATTCAGCCTAAATGTTCTCTTTCCTAATTCAGTCCATTTACTCCTATTCATTTCCTAACGCCAACTGTACTATCCTAAATATTTCTTCTTCCTGTTTGATGTTTACTCCAACGTCTGGCGTGTTGTTATATCTCTTCCTTTAAGTCCTTGATTTATCAGGCTATAGATGTAGAACTATTTGCACCATAGCTACGTCCTTGCTGTTATAAGGACTAGAGGCCATTTGCAATGACTTCTCTTCCCTTGAGACATGAGCATTCCCAGTTCCTGAGACATGAGCATTCCCAGGACCATCGCTGCTACCCGTCTTACCTGCACTTCTCAACAAATGGCTTGTGGCGGTGAGAATGCTTGGTGAGGGAGGTTAATGGTCTCACAACCTCTTTCACGCAGGTTGCCCCTCTACCCGCATCTGGGGAGACCACTGCCTCCTGACCCCATCACAAAATGGTTTAATTTGGCAGCATAGACAGGACATTAAATGAGAGACATATATGGTGCTTGATGTGCTTGTATTTGGATGGGAGAAAGCACCCAAGGCTGGAATTTTCAAAACTGCCCAGGTTGTTTATGTGCACAAATCCCTGTTGTGTTTTCCAAAGTTTATGAAGTTGTTAAAAACAAAGGCATGCCATTGGATTTCAATATGCCATAAAATGGGAAACCCATTCTATACTGATGTTTTCAGAATCTTAAATTCAATGGGATTTGGGCACATAGTCATCTTTGAAAATCTTAGCCTCTTTGATTATATGCAATTTCGGCAACTCCTGTACTCCTCATTTTTTGAGGAGTACGGGAGCTGCTGAAAAAGCTCCCCACTGTTGGCAGAAAGGTGGCAGAGCTGCGGCTACACTTTACTTTCACTTTCGACACAGCCTGATCGGCACAGTGTCAGAACATGAGTATGCAAATGATCCTGGGCTCATTTGCACTTCCGAAGTGCTTGATTCTCATCCCTCTCTTGGCAGAGAGATACAGTCTAGACGTAGCCTGAGTTACAAACACCTGACTTAGGAACATACCAACAACTGCTCACCAGCAGCCTCAGTGAGCAGGCAAGAGGCACAGGTGAGCAGCAAAGTGTTGCCAGCGATTGGAGAAAAGTGTCACTTTGAAGGGGAAACTGTCACTTCTGTCCAGCTGCTGGCTGCACAGCCACCCCCCCTCCTCCTCTGGAGTCCTCCAGCCCCTGCTCAGACCACTCACCGCCTCTTGGAGAGCGGGGCTTGGTGCAGCCCATGGAGGAAGGGGGCAGCGGGAGGATGGGGCTGGTCACAGGAGCCAGTGCAATAACTGCAGGAGAGTGGGTGGCGGCCAAGGGTTACCCACAATTCCCTTTCAGAATCTCCACTTACCTCCTTATCCTCCTCTCATTAAACCTCCCTTTCCTCAAGACCAGCATTCAAGATTAAATAAACTCTTTCTACAGATTTTCATTGGACATGTAGAGTATTTCAGCTACATTATGGGTTAAATAGGTTCCCAGGCTAACCCACAAAACGTATCTATCATTTATAACATTGTCTCTATGGGAAAATGCATTCCGAGTTCCAAAACAACTGACTTACAAATGATCTTTTGGAACACAACCTGTTTGTAAGCTGGGGACTTCCTGTACTGTGTATTAGCTAGAGATGGTTGACTTTTCTTTTTACCTAGCAGAAAATTTTGATGTTTCAACATATATATTTCAGGAAAGCACAGACTTTTTTGGGGGAAAATGTTAATTTTATCAAAAAACCAATTTTCTATTTTTTTTTTTAAAAAAAAAAGAAGTTTTAATGGAAAATATTTGACCACCTGAGGTTTTTCTTGCTTCCACATGCTTTCTTCATTTGCTGGCTTCTATGGAGAGAAACTCCCCATGAGCTTCCTGAACTTGGACCTTTTCTAGCTGCCGTGTCTGTGCCAGAGACCAGAAAACTTTGATCTGGTGTTCTGAATGTCACATGCCTGCTCCTTTTCAGCTAGCGTTCGTAGTTGTCAAGGACCAAGGCCTCATGCATGCATCCAGATACCCAGGTACAAGTGTATGTTATGCTGTGGATACCTCTGCAGTAAGAACTGGACTGAGATCACCATATTACTCCCCGAGAGACACCAAATAGTCGTGAGATGGTAATCATAACTTTTTTGGCCACGATTAGTGGGCCAGGATTTCATTTGGTAATTGAAAGATGAGAGTGTATCCTATTACCAGGTTATGGAGACATCCGCTTCCTTATACTGGGACAAAACTATTGAATACACAGATGTTATCCCAAAGAGCCTATTTTGTGATCTTTGTTGAGGTCCTAAATGTTATGACTTAATAAGCTTCATAAGGTATTTGAGCATTGAGCATTCTGATCCCGCAGGCATCTTTGAAACTATCAGCTCAATGTGATTGCTGGATCTCTGGCACTGAATAAAGAGCCCTCTGGTTATTAGACGATAGGTTCATGTTGTACACGTAATATGTATTTTACAAATTATTAACGTAGTTTTGGCAAAACTCACCATTGAGCTAGCTGTTGGGCCCTCGCATTCAGCACTTCCTATGGTTTCTTCGGGATATGCTATGAGAGGGCTTGCATGTTCTAGGATCTGGTGCCATGCCATGTTAAACCCTTTGCAAGATCTATATTGCTCTTGAGTGAAACTAAAAATAATATAGGCCTCAGGCCTTCGTTCAGTCTGCTTAACCTCCACTGTTGTGTGTGGTGGTGTTTTTTTAGCCACCCAGTCCCTTTCCCATGGCGACTGCTCCATGCTGACTTATACCAACTGGCTGTGGTCTTGTTCTCATTCTCAGTTGACTCATTTGGGCACAATAGGCTGAGCCAAAGGAGACCTCCCTTGTGCGATGTGACTCAGTGCCCACTGCTTGGATGTTGAAGTAGGCCAGTAAGCTCACGCAAGGGCAAATGCTGCCGCTCTGGACTCAACTTCTCCGCAGTTTTCTCACCTGAGGTGGTGACCTGCAGTCATAGGCTGGTTGTGATCCAGCTGGATGGGTGCAATCTATTTACTGTGTGCGTCTGATGCTGCTCCTTTTCAGTGTGAATACGCAAGAGGATGATGTGCATGGGAGATGAGTGGAGGTGCATGGGGGGGAGGTGGGCATAATGGGGCAAAGGGGAAACCATTTGGAGCTGAAATGACCTTTGTAAATGTCCTTCCATCCCCTTTGTTGCTTTGAGCAGAGATGCCGTGTGTGGTGCAAAGGCGTATTTAACCAAAAGCTCTGTTCTTTCCACAGTGGGCAAGCCTCACAAGTGTAACTACTGCGGCCGGAGCTACAAGCAGCGCAGCTCTCTGGAGGAACACAAGGAACGCTGCCACAACTATCTTCAGAATGTCAGTATGGAGGCTGCCGGGCAGGTCATGAGTCACCATGGTGGGTGGAAAGGATGTTATGGAGCCTCCGGTATTTAACCAAAAGCTCTGTTCTTTCCACAGTGGGCAAGCCTCACAAGTGTAACTACTGCGGCCGGAGCTACAAGCAGCGCAGCTCTCTGGAGGAACACAAGGAACGCTGCCACAACTATCTTCAGAATGTCAGTATGGAGGCTGCCGGGCAGGTCATGAGTCACCATGGTGGGTGGAAAGGATGTTATGGAGCCTCCGGTACCTCGGAGTGACTGCTGTATTTAGGGGGGGGGGGGGAAGAGGGTTTTCCTCTCATGTTTCTTTAAATAACTTCATTCTTCAAACAGTTGCATTCCAATATTTTTAAGGAAGACAGAAAGCATGAAATCCTAGACTCACTAAAGTCAACAACACAACTCCCCTTGACTTCGGAGAAGCCAGGATTTCTGTGTGTGTGTGTGTGTGTGTGTGTGTGTGTGTGTGTGTGTGTGTGTGTGTGTGTGTGTGTGTGTGTGTGTGAGAGATGTGTGTGATGTGTATATAAAAAATCAACCCTGCAAAATGATCATGGAAAAATTGATTCGACCAAGCATACAAGGTGTTATTTGCCTATCTTTTAGCATAACTGATTATGTAACAAATTAAAAATATTGTCTTTGAAAAAGTAATGCTTCCCCATTGCAAGTAAGAGTGTAGAATTTGGCAAGATTGGTAAATATAATCTCTATATAATGTGTATATGTAAATATGTTTACATAATAAGCATGCTGTCTATGTAAATAGTATATTGAAAAAGATTGTTGAGGCTTTTTGTGTTGTATAAAGAGCTTGCAAAAGAAGCTATTAAAAGCAGGCTTTGAGAATATATTTTTTCTTCAGTTATAAATAAGTGGAGTGAAAATTGTTAAAAAAACCAATGTTTTCATATTCAAAATTTGGTTTTTTAGTTTTAGTTTTTGAAATGGAATATTTTATTTTAAAATTTTTCATGAAATGGCGTACTCTCTTTAAAATATTGTATTTATTTTTGTAGTTATTACTTGGGCAAAATTTTTTCAAAATTATAATTTTTTTAAATTTTTTGTTGAGATAAATCCTATAAGGTGACAAAAGTAACCAGTCAAAAACTGCATTGCTGCAAAATGAAGAAAGTGAAGGAAATTAATAGCAGACTGCTTTTTTTTTTCTTTCTGTTTTGGTTTTTTGGTTTTTTTTCTACCACATAACTTTTCCTTGGTCATTTTAGTCACATGGTGGGATTTTTATTTACTTTGAAATATTCTTTAGTTTTTATAAAATGTATAAGAAGTCAAGAACCAAAAAAAAAAAAAAAAAAATCAGTTCAAATGATTAATTCCTGATAGAAAATTTTGGTGAAAAAAAATCATGAGCATTTTTTTAAAATGGTTGATTTTTTTAAAGAAATATTCTTTTTGCAAAAAAGTTGCATTGGAAAACTTTGGGCTTCTGTGTTGAGTAATTTCAATCATACTCCACTATAAAAGCCCTGGAGAAGAAAATAAGCATTTAAAAATCTGCTTCAGAAAGGTTAATGATTTGTGACTAGACATTTTAGGACTGATACATAATGCTCTTAAAAGTCTATAGAAAAACTCCAACTGATTTCAGTGGACTTTGGGTTAAGGATTGCTTGTCCCCTGACTTTCAGACATACATTTGGACTAATGGTGCTTAGTTGGAAGCTAGGAACTGACCTGTGTACACCATTCCCAAGAAAACTCTTAGGGTGCATCTACACAGCACAGTTATTTTGAAATAACAGTGTGAGCGTCTACACAGCAATTCTGTTATTTCTAAATTCATTCAAAATCATAGACGGCTTATTCTGACTTCTGTAAACCTCATTCCATGAGGAACAATACCTCTTCTGAAATTTCAAAATAGCTGTAGTATGGACACTTTGCTGCTGCTATTTCAAAATAGCTCCTCCCCGGTGCCATTCAAACTAATTTCTCCTCAGTGCCCCCTCTGGTTGTAAATCAAGGAAGCACATCCACATTAGGGAAGCCTGTCTCGGACTAATTTTGAGGCTTCCCTGTAGTATAGACGTGCTATTTTGAAATAAGCTATCTCGAAGTATTTCTTCCGGAATAGCTTATTTCAAAATAGTGGTAGAAATGTAGCCATGTTAGTCTGGTGCAGCTGAAACAAAAAACAGGACTGTGTAGCACTTTAAAGACTAACAAAGTGGTTTAATAGGTGATGAGTTTTCGTGGGCCAGACCCACTTCCTCAGATCAAATAGTGGAAGAAATTTGTCACAACCATATATACCAAAGGATACAATTAAAAAAGGATACAATTTTAAAAAAGGATACAGTTCCATATGTGTTCATTTTTTTAAATTGTATCCATTGGTATATATGGTTGTGACAATTTTGTTCCACTATTTGATCTGAGGAAGTGGGTCTGGCCCACAAAAGCTCATCACCTATTAAACCATCTTGTTAGTCTTTAAAGTGCTACACAGTCCTGTTTTTTATTTCAAAATAAGCATGCAGTGTAGCTGTACCCTTAGACTCCGAACCCTACAAAGGCCCACAACACTTGTGACTTCAATGGGACTTCTATCCGGGGTGAACATTAAGTAGGTGTGTAGTTCTTTTGAGAGGTGTGTCCTTGTTGAGCTTTCTCCATGAAATGTAGTTATGAAAGCTTAAAGTCCTTCAGGGATTGTGTTGTGGGAGATCGCTTCAGATTCTCAAAAGCACAAGTGTTGAGACAGTTTTAACTTTGCTTGGAAGAACAGTATCTGGACTACTTAAAGAATGATACATGGACTAGAAGGGACAAGTTCTTAGCCTTTTCTACACAGAAGTTTCACTGATTAACTTGTCAGTTTTACAACCAGTTTAAATTAGACCCGTCCAAATCCCTGTCTGAATACTCTTAGGCTTGTCTATACTACTGCTCAAGTTGATGCAAGTTATGTTGTTCAGGGTTGTGAACCAACCACCGCCCGAGTGACATAACTTACATCCACTTAAACCAGTGTCTCACTGAGGTGGAGTAATGATGTCAACAAGATTCTTCTCCCGTCAATGTAATGTGTCGTCACCAGACACACTATCTTGACACTGATTTAACACGGTAGTGAAGACAAGCTTAGTTTGGTTTAGTTTAGTTTAAACCTGTTCTTAATCAGTTCAAACTGATTTGTAAGGGTCTGCAGTGCCCACCCCACTGGGTGGCTGACCACATTTTGCTTTAGGAGAGGTGAGGAGGAGCAGGGAAAGCGAGCTCTTTGAATCCACAGCTGCACCCAACCATGACCAAAATCTGGCCTACCCATGTGCCTACCAGCGAAAGAGGGGATGTAATCACTGATCTATAAAAAAGACTGCAGCAATTCACCTCCTCTCCAGAGCACATGGGAAACCAAAAAGGATTTGTGACTGACTGTGACACAATTCCTTTTCACAGCCTCCCCGGGCGCTGGAAAGTTAGTCTGCCCCAAAGAATGTACTGTGCAAATGTAACGTTGACAGGCACAACTAGAGAGGCTGGAAATGGATGACACGGGAGGGGTCACTTGACAATTCTCTGTTCTGTTCATTTCCTCTGGGGCACCTGGCATTGGCTGCTGTCAGAAGACAGGATCCTGGGCTAGATGGACCTTTGGTCTGGCCGTTCTGATGTTCAAACCTGGGCCCTCTGGAGTTGAGTGCACGAGCTTCTACAGTTTGAGCTAAAAGTAGCTGGCTCTCAGCTAAGGCAGTAGAGCCAAACTCATTCTCTCTGTATAAATGGTCTCAGTGCCACTACATGGGACAGTGAACCACACCTAGCAGGTGTGTAGGTTACACAAAAATAGGCATGTATTTTCTTCTGTCCCTTGCCACACTATATACTTCAGGATCGGAATTATTACAAGCTCACGGCTTTGGAGTATTAGATATCTTGGAATTATTTGGGCCTTACCTTAAACTTGAGTTTTCCAATATATTTGTAACTGTTTTCTCATTTACCATGCTTCTGAAGGCACATCGTGTGTGGGACTAAATTTGTGAAGCCCCCAGTACATTTCTTATCTTGTATTACCAGAATGAGCCATGATACATTTGCCTGGGTCTATGAGACCACTGCGGTTAACTGACTTTTGCCTACAATTACAAGTGATCGTCTAGGGCAGGCCTGCAATGAACTAAGACATAGAATCATGGAACACTAGAACTGGAAGGGACCTTGAGAGGTCATCAAGTTCAGTCCTCTGTCCTCATGGCAGGATCAAGCACCATCTAGATCATCCCTGATAGATGTCTATCTAACCTGCTCTTAAATGGCTCTAGTGATGGAGATTCCACAACCTCCCTAGGCAATTTATTTCAGTGTTTCACCACCCTGACAGGAAGCTTTTCCTAATGTCTAACCTAAACCTTCCCTGCTGCACTGTTCTATAAAAAGATGGGGCTGAAGGTTTTCTGGTCTCCACCAGTGTCTTTCTGTGAAAGGAAGGGAGTCCAGCTTTTTGTGCTGGGACTTGTGCATCTCTGCCAACAATTAACCATGTTTTGTGCTGGGGGAGGAGTTCTACTTAGTTGGGGGCACCCCCTGGAGGGATGTCGATCCATTCTGCTCAATGTGGTCCTTTCTGAATTCATTCAGGTACTCCATTCATTCTCACAACAGCTCTGTGAGACGAGTAAGTATCGTTGTCTCTGTTGTGCAGATAGATTGACCGAACCCCCCCTTGTGGCTTTAGTTCGGTGATTATCAGAGTGGGGGTTAAAAATGCACATGTTTCTGGCTCCGAGTGCCTTGCTTAGTCCTCTAGCGCATAGCCTCTCATGCTATGACCTTATGGCTAAAAGCCCTGCAACAAGCAAAGCAGATAGCTCACTTGTAGACAGCTTGCCAAAAGAAAGTTGCCATCATCTTATTGTGGCAGGCAATGCCAGCCTTCCCAGATGAAAAATAGGTCTGGGGACCTGCAGCTGGGTCCCAGACCTGTGTGAGTATAATGGAGACCAGGGCTGGATGTGTAGTGATCATGAATAATCCATGATCTTCAAGACAAGTCAGAGGCAAACTTTCAAGCCCAACTACGCATTCACACCAGCTTAGAGATTCTAGCTGATCTTCCCAGAAATAAAGGCTTAAGAGGGTTGGTTTTTTTGTTGTTTTTTTTTAAATATGCTCTTAGTTTGCTGATTTAGGTTCCCAAAAACAACGAGGAGAGGGAGTCTAGTTCTGGGCTCTGTGACACCCTCCTCCCCCAAATCTGCTTGGCATATTAACAGATTATGGCCTTTTATTCTGACATAATTGAGTAGAATTTGGATTCAATGCTGACCCAAGGAATCCTTTCCTGTCCTAATTTTAATGTCAACTGAGCAAAGGAGTCTGAGGGTTGAGAATATCAGCTGGTGTAAATTAGCATAGCTTTACTATTTCAAGTAACCTGCCGGGACTAAATACGGCCTGGGTGACACTTTTTACTTTTGTTTTGCACCCTTCTTGGTTGCTTGAGTTAGAGACAGACTCTCATGACGTGTGGGATTTAGTACAACTAAAAAAGAAAAATCCCACCCCAAACTAAAAATAGTTATGAGTCCAGCCTTTCAACTACAGCCCCATTGGTTTCAGGGAAATGGAGGCTCTGACTCAGTGTTCCTGTACTCTTGTCACACTGAAGACTGCCTAGGTCTGCGTACCGAAAGGATGGGCTCACGTGAATTTTCCCATTACATCTAACATCCTCCCTTGCAAATGTTGGAGGAAACTCAACGTCTTAACTTAGGCTCCAGTATAGGAAAGTACTAAAGCGCCTGCTTAAGTCATTAGGCTGCAGGTTGAACCTCTATAGTCCAGCACTCTGGAATGAGTCTGGAATGAGACTAGTTAGCTGGATGTCCACTTGCCATGAGCGTGGGCAAGTTCCCTGTGGTCCCATAAAGTTTGTTTACAGCCACCAGACCTAGCTCTCAGTTTTCTGTGTTATTATTTAGCTCTAACTTACCCCTAAATATCTTCTAAGTGCCCAGTAAGTAGTGCCAGTGTTGGTAATGCTGCTAGCAATATTGACCTCCCATGGTCTGGAAAATTCACTGGTTGGGAACTGGTCGGGTCTAGAGGGTGCCGGACTAGAGAGATTCAGTCTGTGTTAGAAAATTACTTAAATGCATCCTTTGCAGTACTTTGCCTTTGTCAAATAGAGATGCTTTGCAGAACTTGGGCTTTAGTTGTGAGCATGTGTTATCTATCTTGATTGTTTGGGGTGTTTTTTTTTCTAGTTTATAATGCTGATATTCATCAGTGACTTACGTGGACTTTGGTTTTTGGCTTTTCCTTAGGTATTGATTTTTTCCCCCATAAAATTAAAAGGAAATCAAAACGGTGCCTTGTGTTACAGCCTACAGGAAATAGGCATCTGATTACCCTCCTGTCAGTTATTTCTTAATGTGTATAATACATTCCTTATAAATCTTATAATAGATCTCGATCGAACATTTCCAGTGATATGATGTTCAGTATAGCTCGTCAGCTTTCCACGGTAGCAATTCCTAACCAGTCTAATCTTGATTTTGCTGTGGCTCAACAAATTAAGAAATTGGATTTTGTTGTTGCTTTTTCTGAAATTTACCTAACCAATGCTTTTTGGCAATTTATCGTCACTGTAATGTAAATATTGGAGTCCGACACAGTAATGTTTCGGCTTGGAAGGTCCAACGTTCTATTCTCATATTGACCCAGATAATAGCCACCCCGTTAAGTGTGGAGCAACCCTCTCTTACTATCAGGTTCAGAAATATGAAGGAAGGTACTCTATTGACTGTGATACTCCACAGAGGAGTCCAAGCAAAATTCTTGCCTAACTTATTGGTTGGAGGATATATCTGTAAACACTCCTCACTTTCCATAGAGGCAAGTAGTCCAAGTTACATATTGGTCAAATTCCACCTAGGGAATTTCACATACCTTTGGTCAAGACAGGGGTGTTGTCGTGTTTTTAGCTAATATTTAATCTTTATATGAATCATCAAGGAATAGGGTGACTCTGGGACTCGATCCAATTACTGTTAAAGTCCATGAAGTCCTTCAAGCCTATGGAGATGCAGTCCTATATAATGCAGAGTGCCCCCGTTTACATGGGAGCTTTACACAGATCTCAGCATTTTCCCCCACGAGACACTCTTGTGCAATGGATAGCAGGGGCAGACAGTCAAAGTACAAAGAGCAGCTAGACACACAGTCCCCTTTGAAAATCAATGGGATCTAGTCTCCCTACTGCCATTTGTGTCTTTGAAAATCTCCCACTACTTTCAATGCATACCCAGATAGGCCTATTATAGATTTTCATTGGAGCAGCCCAAGCTACCTACCCCAAATCTGGTCCATTGTCCAGTCTGAACCCTTGAAGTCTGCACTGGATATTCATTAGGTCACTTGCATACCACGCACCATATCTGTAAATGCTGGTTTCAGTCTGTATTGGTGCTGTTTCCCTTTCTTTTATTTTCATGGGTGCCAGAAGGATTCCCTTGTAAATGAGAAAGTATGGTGGTTCTCTGTGGGTGCATCCTGTACACACAAAAAGGCAGCAGAGTAAATCATTTTACAACGTATGCTGGATTCTAATCCTCAAGGAATTCCATTTTCCTTAGCAACTCAAGCACAAATGCCACCATAGGAATAAATTGTTTGTGCTCTCTTAATGTGTATGGGTTGAGAAGTTCACCAGAACAGATATTTTATTTTGTAAATGCCTGGTATCTGTTCTTCCTTTGTAGGAGGCAAAAGCAATACTTTTATCATCTCATTTCTAATGTGTATTGTGCTACCAAATTGACGCATGTTGCAGAACAGGAGATTCATTAGCGCTGATGTGAGTGGGTTATCGGAGTAATGCAGGTCTGAATCAGACCCAGTCCTGAAATCTCCATACAGATTACACTCATGCGTGGGGAGCACATGGTATAGTCTTTGAAACAGAGTCTTAGGGAAGTTACCGTTGTGTGTGCGGGGGAAAAAAAGAAGGGAACAATAAATGATGTAGGGGCCAACCCTGCTCTCTTTATTCGGGCAAAAGTTCCTTTTCAGCTCAGAGAGCGTGTCTCCTAAGGAGAACAAGTGTGGACCCCTCAGCACATACAGATGAGAGCAGTTGTTTGCTCTGCTATTCCAGAAATGCGTTTTAGTTTGCCAGCCAAAAATTGTTAAGTATAGATCATAATCATAGAGCGACTCCCCTCCAACTAGCAGAAAGACACTGATGGTTGAACTGTTCAAACCAAGCTACCTTCTGTGGGTGAATCAGAGACAATTAGTCTATTAGATTCAGTGCTGTGGAAGAATGGAAACCACTAGAACTGCCTTTCGTCATGCATCAGTTCTTCAGCCTACAAAGTATTACTTGGGTATGAGGCAAGTCGTCAGACTTGTATTAGCTAAGCACATAAAAACGGGTACCAGAGATTCACTGACTTAGCAGGTGGTTGGTGGAATTCTTGCTGTGGATGTGATTCTGAGGCTTGCTGCTTGTTTCCAGAATCAGACCAGGTATTGGACAGAGGGTGAAATAAGCAATTATAGATGATGTAATTAATTTCTCCTTTTTGTTTCAAAGACAGTTGAAAAGACTTACATATTCCTCCTTCCTGTAAACAGTTCCTGTTACCTCCACAGGGAGGTTATTCAGAAGTAGGGCGGTTGTCCGCTGGTCACAAAGGGTGGGTAGATGTCCTCCAGACAATCTTGTCATTCATTCATGACTGAGGCTATAAAAATATGTGAGAGCCTCTGGTATGTGCCATTCATCTAAACGGGACTCTAGGAGATGGTGATCCTATAAACGAGATGCATTATGGCTGAAAGATAGCCGTCTCCTGCATGGAACAAGGAAATCTACAATAACATCCACATTTTCAAAAGAGGACTTGGAGTTTGTGAGCCTCCATTTTTGAGAGCTCCATCTCCATTGCCATGAGCTCCCACAAATGTAAGCACTCAAAATCAGAGACCCACATTTGAAAATGGGGCTCTCGCGGCTGAAATGTGAATGCTGTTTCCTTGCCAATTGTACACCTGCGGCTTGTTTCACTGGTATGTTAATATGCATTTGTTCAAGATAGTCTACAGGGCTCAAAATGGTTCGTGCCAGCTCATAAGTGTAGCCAGACCTGTCTGATGTGACCTTTTTGGTTTTATGTAGTACCTCCTATGGAAGATTGTAAGGAGCAAGAGCCTGGGATGGACAACAATATTTCTCTGGTGCCTTTTGAGAGACCTGCTGTTATAGAGAAGCTGACAAGCAACCTGGGAAAGCGTAAAAGCTCCACCCCACAGAAGTTTGTGGGTAAGCTTGAAGAGAGCATTTTTATTATTCCTAGTGAGTAGGAATAGGTTACATGTTAAGAACAGTCAGAAGATCAAAGGGGAAAAACTGCACTCTTGGAGTTGAGCATGACTGGGGAGGTGGGAAGGGGGAAACGATTGAAAGATGATTCAATCCAAGTAGAAAACGACCTAAAAGTAATTTGAACGTGACTAAATTGCAGTTTTGTCAATCCTAAAAGTCATGAGTCTTGCACCTGGCCCCTAAAATCTGGAGATTTAAAAATACACAGTTTGGGTCTTTTTCTTTACTTTTGGGTGTTTGAGACTTTAGGATGCATTTTGGGTCACGTTTTCAAACGTTTCTGTGTCCTCATGAGGGCTAGAAGCCTACTTGGTAATTAAAGCTGAGATTTTCCTGTAATCCCCTGACTCCAGGAGCTGCCAGCTAAACAACAAAGCTCAAGTAACTCACGACTTGTGAGTCAAGCAGTGAGAATTGGCACTAGTGAAATTGCCTCCCTGATACGCACGTGTGATTTGTTGGACTCCTTTCAATAAAAGCTGTCGCCTGTTTATTGGCGCTGCCATTTTTCTGAGAAACGGTGGAGAGGGTGGCAAGTTAGCGCCTGTGTTGAAACCTGGTTCTTAGCCAAATCCATCTGTGGGAGGAAAAGAACCATATTGGATGATCTTAATTGTACCTTATTGTTTCTCTCTCCTGGAAGTTCCACACGAGTTTTAAGAAAGCGACGTTTAATCTCTTTTGCAGGTTTTCTCTTTTTTCCAGCACATTTACCATGGCCTCACTTTTGGTCCCTGTTCTACCAAATTAAATACTTTTCAGTACATGCAGGACGACCTTACCATGGTTCTCGTGCTCATAGTAATGTTTCCTGCAAATGGAGCACTTCTTCATCACAGCAGAGTGCTATTTAGGAGAAGGTCATGTAAGCCTATGCTTGACTTTTCCCATACTGCATCTATCAGACCTTTTCTGCACTTTGTGGTCATCAGTCTCTGAGAAGCCTAGGTTATGGACCACAATGCATGCACGCTGGCTGAAATTTCAGAAGGAAGGGAAGTGGTATACTGCAAATGTGCTAGTAATTGCTGAGAGAGAGAGAGAGAGAGAGAGAGAGAGAGAGAGAGATGGGTTGTGCCCAGCTTTGAGGCACAGACGTTCTTGAGAAATTGTTGAAACAGTGGAGGTGAGGGTAGCTAGAACTGTCTTTAACAACACGGGAACAAGGGGGTTGCCAATGGAATTAAAAACAGCAAATT